CACTCTTCGCTACCACACCGTCACTGGTTGGGATGAGTGGAATTTCATTTCCACTTATTCTTACCAAACCATTTGTTAATAACAAATTATAAATAAAATCATGCTAATGAAAAATATAATTATTTTAAAAGGTTTTATTGTGTGTTGACGGATTTAGAATACGGAATGTCACCACCCCTATTCAACCCGTGGGTGTCGTAAGAGGCGACTAAGGGAGCAAACTACGCAGGACAACAGCACTGCAAAGAGAAGGAAAACTTGACACAAACCCTATACCAACCCGTCTGGAAAGCGTGGTATAGTAGGCCCAAACCTCCTTTCAAAGGAGAGGCCTATGTCCAGCAGTGGACTATTAAAGGCTGTTGATGATGATGATGATATTTATTATGAAAAAATATATTTTCGTTCTCTTTTCTTTTATTGAAGGTTATTGGTGATTGCAATGTATTTGTTTCTAAGAATGGCATTTGCATATTTATGTAATTTACTTAATAGTTGTAGCTAATTTAAATGTGTGGAATGCTTATTGCTTGTTTTAAAGTGCCACGCTTCGGCGAAATTCGAAATTGTTGGTGCGGTGTCGCAGACCGAAGACGTTCCGTTTCTGAAATTCTTTATTTTTAGGCCACCATTTATCAAAATACTGCATGAATTTGTCCATGCCGAAATCTTCAATGATGTTAGATTGTATATAAGACCATCCATCTGTCACCTGGTCCACAGGTAAAAGAGGTAACGCAGCAGTCAAAGCAATAATTCGCCCTCGTGTCTCTTAATGAATATATATAATAATAATAATAAGCCTCCTATCCTGAACTGCTTTCTTCTTTCTTTGTATTGTGGTTGTCTCTTTCGTTATCTCCACTTCAAACTATCTATTCTAGTAAGTACGTCTGTGACTTTTGTCTTACTTCTTATGACGGTGTTTCGTATCTTATTTTGTTTCTTAATACCTATCATACTTCGTTCCATAGCTCTTTGGCAGTGTTCCAGCATGTTTCTGTGATGTTTCGTAAGAGCCCAGGTTTCACACCCATATGTAATACATGGGAGAACGCAGGTATTGAAGACCTTCCTTTTGATACCTATACTGAGATCTGTGGATTTCATGATCTCTTTCAGTGACCAGTATCTTTTCCATCCGTTAGCTATTCGTCTTTTGATTTCTTTTGTAGTTGTGTCTGTATGTGAGATGATTTGTCCTAAATAGATATATTCATCTACATATTCAACAGGTTGGTTGTTAATTTTTATTTCATATTTATTTGAATTCGTTAATAGCTTCGTTTTGTTTATATTCATAAGTAAGCCCACTTTCTCACTCTCCTTATTTAGATCTTGTATCATTTCTTCTAGGATCCCTGGCTGTTCTTCAAACAAAACAATATCGTCAGCGAATCTAAGATGGTTTAATTTTTGACCATCTATATTTAGTCCATGGTGGTCCCAGATTAGCTTTCGAAATATGTTTTCCAGCACCGCCGAGAACAGCTTTGGGGACATCGGGTCGCCCTGTCTGACGCCTCTTTTTACTTGGAATGTCTCACCCAAGGTTTCCAGTTGTACTCTTGCCTTACTGTTGGAGTAAATGTTTTTAATGGGATTCCCTGGTTTCGTAGGCTTTCCCATATGGCTGTGTGGCTAATGCTGTCAAATGCCTTAGAATAATCAATAAAAGCCATATATAGTGATTTGTTGTACTCCTTGTATTTTTCCATAATTTGCTTGACTGTGTGGATGTGATCTATTGTGGAGAAGTTTTTCCTAAAGCCAGCTTGTTCCTTCGGTTGGTTTTCATCAAGTATGTTGCTTATTCGACTTAAAATAATTTTGGAGAAAATTTTATATATGTTAGACATCAGACTTATTGGTCTGTAGTTCCCTATGTCGTCTTTTTGTCCTTTCTTATGTATGAGAATGATGTGGGATGTCTCCCATTGATCTGGAATCTGTCCCGATCTCAGGATTCCGTTGAAGATTTTAGTTAAAATGGGGACCAGTTCTTCTACAGTTCCTCTCACTAGCTCGTTTGTGATTTTATCTGGACCTGGTGCTTTGTCTAACTTTTGGCTTAGTATGGCTTTCCTAGTTTCACTGGGTAATATGTCAGGTTCTGGGTTTACTAAGAGCAGATTATAATTCAGGGTTTCTCGACTTACATGTGTAGTGGTGTCTTGGTTGGAATAAAGATTGCGGTAGAATTTTGTAGCTATTCTATTTATGTTCTTTCGGCCTGTTACGTTTTTTTGGTTGTTTTTCAATTTCGGGATCCATTGGTTTGATTCTCGGAGTTCTTTTAGAGCGTTTCTAGTTCCTCCTGTCCTCGCTATATGTTTTTCTAGGGTTTGCAACCTTTTGACTTTCCTGTCCTTTTTGATGCCTTCTTTGATTTTTTTGCTTAAGTTAGTTATTTTTTGGATGTTCTGTTTCCTTATTTTGCAGTCAAGTAAACTTTTCCTGTCTTTTATAAGTTGTAGTGTTGAATTACTTAACTTGTATTTATGTTGTGTCCTTTTTTGGTCTCTTTGACATGTAATTTTGTTTTGTAGTTTGTTGTAGCTTGATTTTACCTCTATTGCATCGGTTCCTGATAGTTCTCTGCTGAGTATTGACAAGGAGTTCTGCATTGTTTTGTTGGGTTCTGTGCTACATGTCAGGAGTGTGTCATGTATAGCAAACTTTCTGGATCCTTTGGGTGGTATAGTCTTGAGTGACGCCCTTACCATGCGGTGGTCGGTATTAAAGTTTAATTTTGATATGACTGCTGTGTCTGTAAATAGATTTGGGTGGCTGCTTATAATATAATCTATTTCGTTTCTATGATTCCTGCCTGGAGAGATCCAGGTCCACTTGTTGTTTTTGTTTTTCTTAAAAATACTATTTAGGAGGGTTAGATTGTGTTCTAATAGGAATTCAACCAGTCTTTGCCCATTTTTGCTTCTTTTGCCGTAGCCAAAGTTTCCCAACACATATTCTTCTTTACATTGTTTTATTCCCACTTGCGCATTAAAATCTCCCATTACTATAATCATGTTTTCTGAGTAATTACTTATAATAGCTTGGGATAGGTCATTGTAAAAAGACTCATGTTTAAGTTCATTTGCTTAATGAATATAAAATTTTATGAAAAGCTATTTTGATTGCAACTGTCCAAGAATACGTTAACATTTTGTTCGTAGGGATAAGTGGAAATGAAATTCCACTCATTACAACCATTGACGGTGTGGTAGGGAAGACTGGAAATTAAATTCCACTTGTCCCACCAGGAGGGACAGCTGGTAGCTAGTGAAATAGCCCAACTACATACCTATTGAAAAACAAAGTCGCCAAATGGTTTATTTTTATAATTTGTTAAGGTTTCGTGTAAATTAGTCGTAAATATATGTAAACTAATTGACGATAATTGTTGAAATTGTTGGGAAAAAAACCTGTGAAGAGTGCGAAGCTGGGCCGGGTAGCGAATATGTAGGTATATTAGTAAAACAAAACAGTTGCTCACCCAGTCACTCTTTAGTACTAAATCACTTGCCACTTAATTAAATTAATCATGTTCATCAAGTCTAAGCACCCCTCACTTAATATGATTTAGAATTAATATTCTTTGTAATCAAAAGAGCATTTTGATAAGACTACACTGCATTTATAATGAAATAATCTTCTGACTAAATTAACTCACCCAGTTATAAATCTTGGCAAAAGTGCTAGATGCAATCTTGCTTTATCTTTAAACAGTTTTTCATTAATCTAAATACAACAACAAGAAACGTAACAAGAGAAAATTTAAATAAATTAAAGAATTAAAAATTATGGCTTAGCACTTGAAACAAATAACAAAAACTGATATTTTTTCAGTTAGAGACCATCTAGATTGAATTTTAAATCTACATGGCTTAGACATTCTAAACACAATCTGGTTTTTAACCTAATACCTTCCTAACTTATAATTTATAACAATAATAATACCTACATAGGTTTAAAGATTCCAATTTCAATTTTATAGAGAAAGTTGTAGAGGAATTGATAGAACATTGTTATAGTGATCACTTCTTTATTTCTATACATGTGTTTGCACTTAACTACAGAGAAATAAATGTCTCAAGTATTTCAACTATGCTGACCCATTTTAGACCCATTCAGGTAGTATTTTTATAACCACACGCACACCTTTTATAGAGATTCCTTTACATTTAGTTTTGTGATTTCAATAATCTAAACATTTGTGTTGAGTGTTATATAATATACTGTATAATATTAAGTACATTATATTAATTATAAATGATTAACACTCCACAAACTTTAGTGGTTTATCGTGACATGTTTAAATAATTGTTGTACTTTTTGTTTTATAGGATAAATAAATATTTAAAAAAATTAGTTGTCATTCCTTATTTCATTAGATTTACCAAAAAACATACACTCATTTCAAAGATTATAATAGATAATAGGTTTTTTTTTTAGTAAGTACTGTGTTAATTATTGATTTTACAAACAACAAGCTCTGTTTCTACAGTACATTACACAAGTACAGTACAGTAGAAACAGCTCTCTGTCAGCCGTTTAATTCTTTGGGTACCTCTTTACCCAAGAAGGTAAAAGACATTAAGAGGAAATGCACACATATTATAAGTTGGGAGAATAATCAGCCTCAAGGGGTATAAGATGTTTGCTCTTTAGACAAATAAATAGAGTGGAGGACTATGTCAGAAGTAAACTCAATGATTTATTTAATAAGTAATGAGAATTTAATGGTTTACTTATCTTAAAAACACTGAGTTAACATTGTTTTTTATTACTTACGCAACTTATACTTACTAACTACTATATTCTCTAAGCAACAACAACTACAAAATTAAATTTTAACATTAAATATGCAACAAAATATATCAAAAGATTAAACAAATTAACAAAATAAAGATATCTTTAAACCAGAATCAATTGAAATAACACAACTTATTTAAAAATGTATATATTTGCCATATGTATGAAACAAAAATACTCACATTTTCCAATGAATTGAAACTCCTGTCCCAACTGCTGACAGGAGTTCCGCCAAATAAATAACCAGGATATCTCTCACACATCTAACACACTTATAAACCACTATATTCAAATAAATAACACTACTTTCTACGTATATATTGAGCAATTTCACTTTATAACTTCATTTTAAACTTTAATCTACTTCTAAATATACTATTTAGATAGATATTAACTATTCTTGCAGCAATACCTGAAAAAAAGGAATTGAAATAATTTTGAGAATGAAAGGATGATGAACCCACAAACAAGTCATTAAGCTATTCATTAATTATTAAAGTTTCAAATACTAATAATACTTGAAACTTTAATCATTACTATACAATAAATTTATTATTAATTACCTAGGTTTACATTTGATACCCCAAACATTGTACATGATGTAAAGTCTAATAAAACAAATCTTTAAATGAATAATATTTTAGTCCAAGATATACAGTTTTATTGTATATCTGTTTGTATCATTTTTCCCTTGTGTTCAATGTAATTAGAGAATCCTTACAAGACTTTCTTTTCACAAACCTAGTCAACTTTTTTTTTTAAAGATACTGTTTATTCGTTCATTAAGTGCTTTGCTTAATTGTTAGTTATAAATTACGATAAGATTAGAGAAAAACAATAGAAAATAACAAATTATTTACTAGTCCGTGTTGACAGCGTGATAAGGGCTAATTACTGTTTAAAATATATACCCATGAAATTATTCAGATACTTACGTTTGATTATTTGAGAAATCTTATTTGCACTTTGAAATAAAATCTTTTTTTTTATAATTATTTCTGAAAAATTATGAATACCGTGACAAACGCAGCCAACGGATCTGAAATTAACTCATTTCATTCGTTCTATTCTGATATGCATTCATTCGGACAATACTGCCATTTTCAGGGCTGCCAGTCAAAGAGTGCTTTAAATTTTATTGTAAATTCACAAAAAAATACTACTGAAGTAGAGTTCGCTACAACACCAAACTAAACTATATTACCTAAAGCCACTTTAAATAAGTAATATTTTTCTTATAAAGAATAGATAAGATTCAGCTTCTCTTGCGTTATGTGAAAAATAAGAAAGTTTTCTTAAGAAACGTTTCCGTTATATATCGTTGTGTATGGATGCCTAATATTAGATAAAATTTAATAGGAACTAAGACCATTTGTAAACACCCTGACACATACAACAAGTATGTATTATGTATATGATACACTAGCTGACCCGCGCAACTTCGTCTGCGTCTCTCAATAGTAATAAATTTTCTCCGTTTTTGAAACATTCTTCATTGGTGCACCGCTCCTATTGGTCTTAGCGTGATGATATATAGCCTATAGCCTTCCTCGATAAATGGGCTATCTAACACTGAAAGATTTTTTTAAATCGGACCGGTAGTTCCTGAGATTAGCGCGTTCAAACAAACAAACAAACAAACAAACTCTTCAGCTTTATAATATTAGTATAGATAAAATAAACCTTTTTAATGTTTGTCAAAGTTAATACACTATCAGGCTACAGTAAATACACTTTCAGGTAAAAATTCAAAGTTAAGTTGAAATTTTTTGTTGTGAAAAACATTGATAGTTAAGTACTGTTACATAATTAAGTGTAAAACAATATCTGTTACACACTTCTGTCCCTTTTCACGAAATCACTTCACAAATTGCTTGAAGACGAAAGGAAAAATGGAAAAAAAGGAAACAAAAATAGGGTCTGTAGTACATAGTACTTCTTACTACGGGTAAAGAACTAGAAAATTTAGCTGTAAATTATTTTTTACTGTTACTACCCGGAAATTGCAGTTTCATCTCGTTTATTAGTTTCTGAAACCTCTACATACCCGTAACAAAAATACAATCTAGATTTCTGATAATTCTAAATGATACACATTTTTGAAAACTTTCGTTCATTTATTATTAAATCATACGAATTTTTTATTTTGGATGGCATTGTATTAGTATCAGAAGTTATCAAAATTAGGATTCATTGTGAAATATCAAAAGACCATTCGAAGAAAAACCGTAATGGACCGTTGCTGTGTTGGTCTGTCCCTCCCTATGGATATTATGTCGAAATTGATGAAAGCGCCACAAGCACAAAACAAATTCGCCGACAGCTCGTCCGCCATTTTGTAATTATTACATTATAGGTTGGCTTGAGTCATTTCGTTATAGGTGCAAGTATTGAAAGAATAGACTTTGTAGGCGATAATAATCATATTGTGACCGATCTGTGTCAATAATGTTTTATATTTAAACGCAGTTAAAAAGTTTTTAGCGACTATTAGGTAAGTCCGAAGTATGAATCTATGCTGGCAAGCAGTGGTGTCATGATTGAGACGATTGTTTCACATATTAAATTTACTTGATTTTGGTAATTTCGCTATTGGTATAGTAAATTAAATAAGTTTATTTAGAATAAAAAATTGACTAATCTTAAGTTTTATGTAGCAATGATGGTTGCCTTCTTCTGACTCAGTAGTTGAAAAGTGATAACGTGTTTTAGTAGTATTACGTTTACGACTAATTTCACTGACTCAAGCACTATAGTTAGAGGCAGGCAAGTTATTTCCAAGTGTAGCTAGCTTTGTTAAAAAAATACAATAATAACCAACAAAACCGATTTCAATATAAACAAATAGTAAGAAACAACCATATATTTGGAATGTCAATCTATTAATTTAACCTATAATAATTGAAGTATTTATCTGAACACTGATGATGTAGAATTACCATACCAAATAAAAAATTCATACATATAATATACATGAATATATGTAATGTACGGGGAATGAATTTACATTAACACTGGACAATATCGTCTGAACTTTGACTGATAAGAAAGAAGACAAGAGTAAAGTACAACTGCAGGATGCAAATAATTATCCCCTTATTTATTTACACTTACTGATTCAGATCAAACTGCAAAACCATTAGTAGAACATACCTAAATAATGTATGGAATATAGAACAATATAAATCAAATATGCACATTTTCTGTTGCTATGTTTCTGTTACATTCTGTAGTGAATAATAATATTATAATAACTGAAGCATTTATGCGTTTTTGGGTGATGTTCTTTCTTTATTGTTCATTTTGATTAATAAATTACAATATAAAGTTCTGTAATTATTGTACACACCTATTATGAATTATTGTCTAACATAAATTCTGTAAAACACTGATTTTTAAATATTTTATTTCTACTACATTAATCATAAGTTACATAAATATATGTTTCCTTATGATTAATGTAACCACAAATAATATTTAAAATATCTAATGGCATTGAAAATAGTCACTTTTTTTTCTTTTAAAGGTACTCACCAAGTGAATCATCATGAGCGTCATCATTAGACTGCAGAACCTACCATGGTCTGCAAATGCCCTGGATATTAGGAATTTCTTTCGGGGACTATCTATTCCTGAGGGAGGTGTTCACATCGTAGGAGGCGAACTCGGAGATGCTTTCATAGCGTTCAGGTAGCTATCAGTAATATTCAAATTATAAATTATTCTCATTCGGTTATATTTTCTATGAACATATTTCTTTGAGAATATACCAAACTTGATCTCATCAAAGATATTTATAAGTGGTTAGTTTTAAGTATTGTTATATACATTGTTTTGAATAAATGGAACATGGAGTAATGGTCTTAATACCCAAAATTGATATTTCATCTGATTGCATTTGGGCTTGTCACCCACATGCCCTTTTACAAACTACATCATTCAAAAAATGTAGTCTATGACTTTTATTTTTTTATTTTTGTTTAATGCTGCAACACAGTTTCAATCTTTTATTATAAATTATTACTTGGTATCAAGTATCTTAGTAGCAATAGTTTTATATTTTTTTTCTTAGAATAATAATGGGATTCAAAATTTCTGGATGGTAAGTATTTAAATAAATTTATTCATTTGTTAAAAGTCACACATTTTTATTTATTCTCTGTTGAGTATTGGCATTTGACTACTATTTTAATTACTTTCCTAATTAAAATATTAATTTTCTAAATGGCTGGCGGTAACAGTTTATATCCAGGCTAAGCTAAACATGTCAATTACTCAGGTTGAGATAGATAATGGGCTGTTATTCAGGGCATTTATCAACTAAGCTGGATACTCGGAATAGTTCTATCATGAAATACTATGTAACAAAGTTATGTGATGGCTACTGTTCCTCAACTGTCCCATAACTTTTAAGACAATACTTTACATTGAAGAAGAAAGGATTGTTTGAACACTAATCTTAGGATCTGCTACACAGATTTATAAAAAAATCGAATACCCCATTTATTGACGTAGGTTATGAACTAAATTATCTTTCGAAGGAGAATTTGGCATAAAATTTTAAATTATAGTTTGATGAAGTTTGTGTAAGGTAGATCCTTACACATATATATAGCTTTGACTTGTGCTAGGATATGTTAGAAAATTATTTTTCCTCAAATTCTATAATTGTGAATGTTATTAGGGAGATCCACTATTATGCTAATAACAATGACGAATTCACCATATCACTCATGAGTAATGTGGTGCATTCGTAGGCCAGAAAGAGTGGGAACAATGGTTTTGTTGTAAAACAGAATAGGTTGGCTAACTGAAAAGGCTATCGTAAAATTATGTCACATGAATGTAATGGCTTTTGGTCCTCATCCCTGTCCATGTCACACCTTGGTACATTTGTAAGAATACCCCCCTCCCTAGTTTGACGTCACATATTTTACAACAAGAAATTATTCAATAATAGAACATTTCCGAAATTAGTTTAATTTTATTTAAATGTTTTTTAACAATTTTAGCAAAAATTAAGAAAACAAAATGATGAATAATTCTAATTTCGCGTTTTAATACTTAGATATATGGTGTTTTGTTTGATAACGTCACAAAACTTAGGACCCCTCCCACCCCTTGTCATACAATGTCACACTTGGTTCCACCCCCAAAGTGTGACATAATTTATGGTTGGTCCCTAAATTTGAATAATACACTATTTTCGACAAAAAATTATTTTAGAAATATGTAATTAGCAAACAGGATAACAACACTTAGCCACTCAGCTATTTATTACTAAATATTCGATATCTGACTTTTAATTTTGAACGGAATCATTGATTTAAAAAAAACTATATGCAAGGCTTAGTGACTTCTACATGTATAAATACCTAACTTCGTAGATCATCAGATTCGAATAAAGACAAGAGTGTTTTATGTCTAAAAAAAATCTTAGCATTTTTCACTTATTTTTAGTGACCATTCTGTATCAGAAAATTTACTTGTTGAGCAAGAGTTCTTGTTAGGAGCGCTAAGTCTATTATTATAAGACGAGATAGTTATTTATAGTACTACAAACGACCATACGCACTCAACCAAAAGCTGGTTTTCACATAATAAAATTTGTTATATGTATGTAAACCAAGAGAGAGGCCTATGTCCAGCAGTGGACTGCGATAGGCTGATGATGATGATGATGATGATGATGATGATGATGATGTAAACCAATGGCAATCAACTGAGGCGAGGCCAAACATACTTATTTTGTACGTAACACTTTATGGTAAGCAGAACTAACCGGACACCAAAGACAATTACCCTTATTCACACAACATGGACAATAGGAGGATGGATAAGAGGAACAACAACAGGCAGATCTTCATACCCTGTACGCGATGGAATTTTCTGTACTTAAAAAACGGCTTATGAATTGTAAGACTATTGAAAAGGAACTGTTATGGATAGGTACTTTTCCTTCTTATAGATGTATTCTTCCTCTGTAGGTACTGAATTAGTATTGAAGCTATCTGAGATATAATGAAGTTCTGAGTACTCATTTTAGATAATCTAAATTAGGAAAACTTAATTCCGTATACGTATTCAAACTTGTATTATCTAAATTCAAAAGTTTAAGTTTTTAATGTAGTCGCAAATGTATTTGTTACGAACCTATCTAAAACTTCTTATCTTCTATGCAGAGGCACTGTTATTTATTCAAAGTGGGTAGGTCGTCTTCATTATCAGTACAAAGGAATATGCAGGCATTGGCATACAGGCCTATATTGGAGTTGTCGTCGTTTGGTCGTCATATGTGCGCACACATGCGAACCATCGTTCGCTAATATTGCATAATTTATAACTACACTCTTCAGGTTTTCTACCAGTTCTAAATAACCACCACTTGAATTACATGACTTCACTGAGTATTTTACAGGAGTGTCACCGTTAACATATACATGCGCCCATTTTAAGTTGCCTGGGCTGAAGTAGCTGCAAGTGGCGTGGCATTGAATTTTCTTAGTCTAAATGAACAATGTAGCGGGACAAGTAGATACACATCTTCTTTTTGGATGATTGTTCAATGGCATCCACAACCATAGGGATCGACAACGTAGATGCAGCATATTGTAAGCATAGTGCTACAAATTATATACAAATATTTTTCATGGATATCAAAATAGAATTAGGCAAGAGTCTTTTTTACAGTTCCTTCCACTGGAACCCCCGCGTGGGTCCATAAACTCTCACTCTATTACACTTGGATCTCCTCAATATAGTTTTTGCAGATGGTCGCCTATAAAGATCGCCTCAGAGCGCCAAAGCCGCCAATTTGTATTGTTTACAAAGCTAGATTTTAATTCTCAAATGTAATGTAATTGAGTGTACAATGTCTGGGGGTTGAAGTTGAATATACATTTAATAATTATTCTCGCACCCCCGGGTTCAAGTGTTATAGCGAGTGTCCATGGACCTCCTAGGGAGTCCACGCGGGGTATTCAAGTGGAAAGAACCTTTTTTACTAGTTGTTTGGGAGGTTAGCACGGATTCAGCAAATAAAACAGCGGAGTTATGGACTGAGCATGTACTCCTTTGTAAAATCTCCAAGTACAGAGACGTCGTGAACAATTATAAAAGTAACTTCAAGCTACAATATACAAGCTATAAAAGTAACAAATCGTTGCATTGCGGTAATTATAACATCTGGTGCTTGAATATGACTCTGGACGTTGAAAGGTGCCCTTACAGCCACCAAGGGGGAAGTACACAAGGGTAACGGGCAAATCCTCTTAAATGCTCTTCGTACAACTCCTTCAGGCGTCCGAATGCAACGCAACGCGAACAACATTATCAGCTCTAAGCTTGTGAATCAACATTCTTCCCAAACGCCACTTCAGAGGAGGCAGATTACCCTCCATGATAAACACTAAAGTCCTTAGCATCATTTCATCCTTGCAAGAACCCCACGTAGTTCTCTGCTGCTGCTCAGTGACATATTGCTTACTCAAACGAGTTAGGTGCTTGACAGAGTGGTTTTAATAGTCTGCAGGCTCGAATGAAAACGGCGTTAATGAGCGAGAAATCAATATCGTTTCAATGTGGGTTAACGTGGTCTTAAGTTCAACGAAGATTAGTTGACAGTCCCAACGATCACTAATTATGATACGTTGTCGACTCAACCCCCGCTTACCTGAGTCCGCCGAATGTGGCGCATATGCAAAAATGAAGTGAACATTAATCTCATCATTAGGTACACTTTCTACTATTTAGGAATCACAATTAGAATTTAATAAACTACGATGGGTCGTTGTACGGCATCCACTAATTATGTACCAGCGCAAAATTAATATAGAACAAGCTAAACAAATCATGTCTAAGTAATAAGATGTTACGGTCGATCTTTTTTACTCATCTCGAACTTGTAAATGCTTAAGGAAAATAGTCCCTTGCTTTTTTATAACATTTTAAAGGTCACTTATACTTTCTAGTATTTTATGCAGGGTCTATTCTATCCTACAACAATCAAAGGCAAAGGTCTTTACTTACCTATTTTGCGGTCTAGAAATCTATACAACATCAAAGTTCTAGTTGTCACTCTAACATAAATAAAAAAATATTTTTGATTTTTCTACTGAGTATGATGTGAAAGCCTTTGTTTTTGCATACATGACAATACAATGTCTCATATAAAACCCATATATATCGTCAATAATACATTCCATTGTCAAATACCTTTTTAGTGCAGTATTAATGTACCATATACACAAACTCACAAAATTAAAACGTAAAATTAGATTATTAGGTGCATCTACTGACATTATGCTCCTGCTGCAACAGTATTGGTAAATACTACTGCAGTAGAATCATGATAAGAATTTCGCAATAGCTATGTGGTTGTAATGTATTATAACATTTTTATATCAAAACCCAAGAGGTCTAAACTATGTATAACTATCTATAACCAAAAATTAACTTGGGATTTCTTCTACAAAAAATGAACCAAGATTTCGTCGACGACCTGTAAAAATTCTTTATTTTTATGGTATACAAGTCATTTATAAGTGTCTAGTAAAACTGAAAAAGTCATGATAACTTTTAAACTTTAGTATTCCTTGATATATCATACGCAGGCATTAACGTAACAGCTACTATATATAATTTCAATTGTTTGACAAAAGCCATGGTCACTGAATGGATTTTTCAGCAAT